CGCTCTCCATTCTAAAATAGACAGAATCAAAAACGAAGTTCAATAACAGCATCATATCTATTTGTTATATATCATCAAATTTCAATTCAACTCTCTTATATATTATCATAATTGTTGTAAACTGAAACTTAATATTTGTATAAATGTAAATGTGAACTCAATGTAAATCAATTGAAAATCAATAGAATATTACAATAATGGGAAAGATAATGTTGATTGATTGAATATATACATACTAAATATTGACCCATGAAATGAAATGGAGTTTTACGTCCTACTTTGATATGTTAACATGTTGGAAGAAGCACAGCCGAACCTACCTGTTTACGCTTCAGTTTACGATAATCCTGTATCCCATCATCCTCTTTCAGCTCCTCGTCTTCGAATTCCTGACAGTCTTGAAGAGTATTGTCTCGAGTTAGGTATAACAGATTCATCTGAAATTATCACAATCATTATTTCAAATTTCATTAGGCAAATATTAAGACAGCAATACCAAATTGTAACAGGATAATATCAAATATCAATTATTAAGAGGTCAATGTCAAATTTTAAGAGGTCGATATCAAATATGAAGAGGTCGATATCAAATATGAAGAGGTCGATATCAAATATGAAGAGGTCGATATCAAATATCCAGAGGTCGATATCAATCATCCAGAGGTCGATATCAATCATCCAGAGGTCGATATCAATCATCCAGAGGTCGATATCAATCATCCAGAGGTCGATATCAATCATCCAGAGGTCGATATCAATCATCCAGAGGTCGATATCAATCATCCAGAGGTCGATATCAATCATCCAGAGGTCGATATCAATCATCCAGAGGTCGATATCAATCATCAAGAGGTCGATATCAATCATCCAGAGGTCAATTTCAAATATTAACAGATCGATATCAAATATCAAGAGGTCAATATCAAATATCAAGAGGTCAATATCAAATATTAAGAGGACGATTTCAAGTATTAAGAGGACGATATCAATTATTACGAGGTCGATATCAATTATTAAGAGGTCAATATCAATTATTAAGAGGTCGATTAAGAGGTCGATATCAATTATTAAGAGGTCGATATCAATTATTACGAGGTCGATATCAATTATTACGAGGTCGATATCAATTATTAAGAGGTCGATATCAAATATTACGAGGACGATATCAAATATTAAGAGGACAATTTCAAATATTAAGAGGACGATTTCAAATATTAAGAGGACGATTTCAAATATTAAGAGGTCGATATCAATTATTAAAAGGTCGATATCAATTATTACGAGGTCGATATCAATTATTACGAGGTCGATATCAATTATTACGAGGACGATATCAATTATTACGAGGTCGATATCAATTATTACGAGGACGATATCAAATATTAAGAGGACGATTTCAAATATTAAGAGGTCGATATCAATTATTAAAAGGTCGATATCAATTATTACGAGGTCGATATCAATTATTACGAGGACAATTTCAAA